TGTCTTGTACATGGGGGATCTTATTGACGGAAAAATACGGTATGTGATTTCCAGTGCTTATTTATGCTCCCTTGGTGAAATGGAAGAAAATATAAAAATATTGATACTTATCATAGGACCATTTGCCAGTTTTATCTCTGTTTATAAAGTAATTAATAACATTGTGTTTTTATTCAAGTCTATTAAATCTACAACCTAATGTTATCTGCTGCTTGCCTAGTTTTTATAAACCCTGCTAGATCATTCTTAATAATGAGCAGTATCACTTGCTGTAATCAGTTTGCTAACGCTGCTGTTAAGATCTTTGTATCAACATTAATTAATGAGACTGAACAATAATTAGCACACTGAGTGTGATCTTTACCTGCTTTTGGTATAACTGTAATATAAGCCTGATTAAATGCCACTAATAAAATTCCCTTATCAAATATCTCATCATACAATTCATATAAGTTTTGGGACCAAAAAATCTATATATGTTTTATACTATATAGGGAATTCATCCAATCCTGGTGTTCTGCCACTTGCCATTTTTAAAATTATTTGTTTAATCTCTACCTCAGATAGTAGAGCAAATAAAACTTGTTTTTTGTGTATTATCTAAATGTGGTAGGTTAATCAATATCAGGCTGTACTGAACGTAATGCAGGTGGGTTTAAAATTGGTGTAGAAGGTAGGAGAATATACCTGGGGAAAGAACTATGTTAGATCATTTCCACATACAGATGCAATAAAACTTCCTAAATGGAGGGCCAAAGCCTCTGGGTTATCTTTTGATGACACTTGTACCACTGCCACAGCAAGTGTCAAGTTGACTATTCAAAGGATATTTTGGAAATTTAGTACCTTAAATACTGTTTCAGTTACCAGTCAACATATTAACTTAAGAATTATGAAAGATTTGCTGGAAAAAAAATTAAAACGTGCATTCTATTAAGATCATTACTCTTTGGAGCAAGAATGTATATTATCTATTAATTGCCAATTTTAAGAAGAGGTGAAGGCTTTAGCTAATTTAATAGAAGGGTTAAATAGTTTTTGGAAACAAGAAGAGACATAGTGTGTGTCCTTCAGTCTCCTGTGATCTAATAGGACTTAAATGTTCAAGGTGGCCGTTTCTGTGAAAATGAAACTTTTATGAACTCCATTGACCTTAAGTTGAGTACAATACAGTGCTCTGAAAAAGATGCATAATGCTCTAATATGAAAACGTTTTTAATTAAAATCCAGATGTGTGCTGATGGTTCCATACCTAAGTTTTTATAGTTTTGTTCAGTGCTGCTGGAGGAAAAGTGATTCAGAAGTTACTGAGTTTTAAATATGGAGAATTCCAGGAACTGAATAAACGTACACTTGTAGGCTTTCCCTTGGGCTGTGGGAGCTGATTATAACTTTGTGAGAGTAGGCCACCTGTACAGCTTCACTGCCCCTCTGATCATTACTCTTCTCTTATATAAGAAAAGAATAAAAAGAAATTGAGCATTTTAATTGATTTAAATAAGACAAGACTGCTGAATCCAGAATATTACATAGACACAGGAACTAGTCACTATTATTAAATAAGCAATAGCAATCAGATTGGAAACCTTTCTAGTTATTGCTTTAAAAAGGGAATAAGAGCTGAACTTGCAATGAAAAAAAATGAACACTACTGTGCTGTCTTCAGAGAAATCAATCTTTTTAACATCTTGTATTCCTAGAAATTTTCTTCACTGAATGCTTTTAACAGATTTCTCGTTGAAGATAATTCTAACAGTTTTTTCAAAAGTGTATGCACATCTATTAGTAAAATTAACTTTAAAGTTATTTTGACTAAGAAAAATATTTGAGAGAAAGTCACTTTCTGCATGCTATACTATGTGATTTTACATTAAAAAAAATAGATATGATATCACTGTCTCCAAATCACATGTGAAATTTGCCAGAAAAGGAATAGACAGTGTTGATATACTATCACTGAATTGATCTCTTAATGCATATATCTGGAAAACATTCCTGTTTCTAAAGCAAAATGCAGCTGTTACTCTTGGTACCACCTCCCCCCCCCCCCCATTTTTCAGTGGAAAAGTTCAGCCTTTCTTTTTAAATTATTTTATATATAGCAACAGAGGAACCTCAAAACAATGATTATTACCATTTTAGCAAGATCAACATGATGGTGCTAAGCCAACCTTTCCAAACCTGAATTCATAGATACTAAACCTACAATTTCCATTTTCCCATCCATTGGCTATGTATGGCGAGAATGATAGGAGACTAGAATCATTGGGGCAACTGAGGCTAGTCTAAGCAATAGTTCTCTTCATCAGATTGTAATGGAATATGAGTCTCTTTTTCTCTACTCAAATCATTCTAGATTTCTGTTTCTGAGAACAATTTGGGAGAACTTGTACAAATATTTGATTATGTTGTTTTGGCAAGTGTAACTGGTGTAGCCCTTCACGCCCTCTGCTATTTAAACCTGACACTTCTTTCTCCTGCCTTTTCCATCCTTCATGGACACCTTGATTCCTGTTTCTCATGCTTAGTGTGAGATGGCTGTTGGAACTGGCTTTTTTGGCATTCTTGGCCTTTTGCTCCCAATATATTTTCCATATTGTATAATACAGTTATAAAATCCATTAAAAGTAATGTATCCACAGAATAGCCTGAGATGTTGGTAAACACAATTTTTTTTTAAAGAAAGTTGTTGAGAAACAGCTTCCAGCATCTGCAATTGAACTGTTTTTGTTTATCTTACCTTGTTTAATAATCAGTTGCTGAATGACATTTTTCTGTGTACATGGTAAATATCCAATACGTCTGCAGTTTATGAGTAAACTATCACTTGATTCTTACTGGGAAATATTTTTACTTGGATTATGTCTTTGGCATGGTTACTAGCCAAACCTGTTTTGTTCTCCTGAGTTTAATAGCATTGTAACATTGCATCTAGTGTTTTCAAAACTTCATAATAGAAGCAAGTTTTTAGAGCAACTATTGCCAAATTGATTGCTACGCCCTGCATAGAAATCAAGACAAACATTATTTGTTTGGAAAGGTTCACATTTCTCAGAATTTAAATATATCAACTAGTCCAAAACAGTAGCCCATATTAGGTATGTCTATGAAGTTGGAGTATTTTGCTATAAATGTTTATCTGTTTTCTAATTGCATATAGTAAGTGCAAACTATAACAATAATAAAACTATATAAGGCTGTTTTTTGATAAAATTTTACAGAAACATCTTTGGTGTGCTTTACCTCCTTGCTGAACTATGAGCTTTGGGCTTCTTCTCTAGCATTTACTTTTTATATGGCGTCTAACCTTTTTATTTATTTATTCATATATAAATTTCTTACAGATTTTAAACTACCCAGTATCTGGGTTGTTTACAGTAAAAGACATTAAAAATACAATTTGAAAAAAGCATATACAATAAAATCAAATGAAGTACACAATAAAAATATTATATAAATTAAGCAGCTACTGTATATGGTGGTCATTCAAAACTAAAACAATATGAATTAAAATACAATTAAAAACCAATCAGCAATGCCTGGGAAAATAGAAAAGTCTTCACCTGGTGTCAAAATGATGCTAAAGTGGATGCCAGTCAAGCCTCTCTGAGGAACGATTTCCATAAATGGGGTGCCACCACAGAAAAAAACTCCCTCCCTTGTAGAGGAGATCTGGAGGAGGACCCCATCAGAAGGTCTTAAGGTCCAGATAGGTACATTTAGGAGAACATGTTCCTTCAGATAACCTGGTCCAAACTGTTTAGGGCTCTAAAGATCAAAAATAGCACCTTGGACTTGAATCCAGAGCTGGACTTACAGCCAGCATAAATGGTGAAAACTGGCATTGTATGTTCATATCAGCTGGTTCCAGTGACCAGAATAGCTGCTCTGTTTTGAACTAAAGTTTCTGGACTGTTTCATGGCAACCCTATACGACACATTGTGATAATTGAACCAGGAAATTACCAGAGCATGAATGGCTGTTGTAAGATTGTCTGTCAGGTAAGGTCATAGTTGGTAAATCAGACAAAAGTATTAGCTTGGAGAAG